CGAGCTACAAATCCAGTATACTTCCCCCTCATTGATGTGGCCCCATCAGTGCAAATGCCGAGGCAACAAGACCAATCTATTTCTTTTTCTTGAAAATATGCATTAGTCAGATTGAAGATATCTTCTCCAGTTGTACGTTCTTCCAATGGTCGGCAAAACAACAAGTCTTCTTCAACCATACCTTCATTCACATAACGTACAAACAGTAGCAAAATAGCTAGATTAGCTACATCAGTTGATTCATTCAACTGTATAGCATAATATGGACTATTTTTCACTCTATGTACAATTGTGGTCTCTACATTATTTGACATGTCATTAATTCTTCGTGACAACGTATTATTGGACAAAGGTACCATGTCAATCCTTTTTGCAGCCTTTTCTCCGAGCATGCAATGAACTACGTCTTTTATACATGGACCAATCAAGCTCTTTGCTATGGTATGGGCATCTGATGCTTTTGCTACTCGGTAGCTCACGTGGTATGACGCTTTAAGTGCATTTTCATTATCAGTACTTGCTTTGGATATAAAACTGATAATGTCACTTTTCTTCTCAGCTAATTTTTGCTTGAAAAAATCAACAGGCTTGTCGAGTTGTGCAGGATGCCTAGTTTCTAAATGGCGCCGAAGTAGAGAAGGTTTGAGGTTGCTGTTTGCTAGAACATCACCACAAATCACACACACTGGTTTTGGATGTTCTTGATCACCAATGCATGTAAAGCCATATTTTATATAATCAGCGTCATATTTTCTTTTCTTTGTAAGTGACTTTCCAGGACCATCATGATCATTAGCCTTAGATTTTCCACAGTGTGGACTTGAGGAAACACTAGCTGATTCCAGCGTCTTTACACTTCCCTTTTTCAGCCACTTATCCATTGAACTTGTGTACAAAAGTTCTAATGAAAATAACAGAGAGAGAGACTGCCAACAAACTAGAAACTGAGAAGATTCACTCACTGAAGCAAATCAGCCCTCCAGAGAGAAGGACAATTACTGAGACACCTTAACACATCCACACTGGTGCTTCTGGCTGGTTTGGCTCGCAAACAGCTTTTCTTCCGCCGAGGAAGGTGCCCTGGGAGGGACAAATTAGCTTGGACCACCCCCCACGTTCAGCGTGGCCCCCTGCTGACTGCCCTGGATGCAAACTTCCCCTGCCTGACAAGGACAGGGATCCGAGCTGCCACCTGCAACCCGCATGGAGTGCTGGGGTTCGGGGCTGCTGGCTCCCCCACTGACGGGGAAGGCTCAGGCTGCCGGCTCAAACTGCCCGCTCTCCACGAGGCTCGGGCTGCCAGCTCCCTGGCTGACAGGGGAGGGCTCGGGCTGCCCGCTCAAACTGCCCAGCCCCGCTCTCCCTGGGGCTCGGGCTGTCTGCCCTGCAACTGGGTCCCAGCAGAGTCCTCTGGCCGCCATTAATGAAATTTTTCTTGCGAATCCCCTGAAACGTTCTGTGAACCCCCAGGGGTTCGCAAACCCCCCTTTGGGAACCACTGGTCTAACCTAAAGAAGCAGCTGCAGACAGAGGTGCCAACTAGACATACTTCAGAAGAAGTCACTAGCATAGTCATTGTCAGTTCTGCAGTTCTTTGGGTAGTACACTGGCCAGCAAATTGTTTCAAGGGCTTTGTGACCAATTTCAGAGTTGAGACTGTACACGAGTTAGTAGAAGATGTTGCATATCTTGTCTTTGACAGGTACAAAGACTTCAGCACAAAGGGTGTCACAAAATCTAGCAGAGCTACAGAAGCAAGCAGAGTGCATGAGCTGAGTGCAAAATACACAGTTCCCTCCACAGAAAGTCGTCTTGACAGTTACTGAAAATAAGAAACTGTTGGTTGACACATTGGTACAGAACTTGTTCAAGACAAGAAGTTGCAGCAATGACACACTAAACCACAAGCTAGCCATCGCAGGCAGAGACAACACCCCAGCTGAAATAAACCGGGGAGATGTGGTGATCAACAGAGAAGATATGGCCATCTTGCATGAGGAAGCTAACATCCATGTACAACAAATGGTAGGAATGCTGGTATTATCAGATGTCACTGACGTATATCTTACTTTTGCATCATTACCTTGAACTGGGCCTAACATCTTTATTGATGATAGAACCCCTAGTCCAAGATCGAGCAGCAATAGACATCCCATGCTGCTGCAGAGAAACACCAGAACTGTACCAGGACTGCACGCCTGACGCCATTGAACAGGCAACTGAATTCATGCCTGCATGCTATGGACAGTTAAATTGTACCACCATGGCAGATGCATGGCAGAAATCCTGGGCAGCAAAATTCAGCAAACACCAGAGCTTAGCTCCTTACCACCAACTGAAGCATTTCTAGAAAACAAGCACATCTTCAGGCCTGTGGGTGGAAAAGTGCTTTGGATCCAGGTGCACCACCACCTGACCCATTGCAGTGCGGATGGGTGCGCAGTGTCTGTTTCCAAAAACTGTACCAGACAATGTCCCACTTGTTCCTCCAGATATTTTGAAATGAAGCAAGTGCTCCTTTGTGAGTGATGCACCTTCTAGATGTGGATCTGTGCGTGCCAAACTGCCATGTACCATATGCTGGGCATGGGAGACAGGCGTGGTGTGTTGCAATGAGCTGACAACATCAGTTTTAGCATTGGCAGGTGAAAATGGTGGTGACAAGTACTCACCCATATTACTTATATCAGGACACTCAGCTGTAGTTTGCATGAGAGAGAACACTAGTAATCATTTACTGCATTTTGGAATCATTCTGTTTGGTTACAATTAATTATTGTTACTGTTGTTGAATATATACATTTATCATTTGAATCTTTTTCACCTTAAAAAGAGTGGTCAGTGTATC